TTATTCCTCAGTGCTGCTTAAATTCCCTGCATATTTAATCACTGACAATAGGCAAAGGTATATCCTGGGAAATTGTCGTTCTAGATGCGTGTTTTATTGTTTTGTTGTGGTTAAATGTATGACTCAGCTAATCTTTCTCTGTAAGCTTATTGCTGCTTAAAATGGTGAGATTTTGGGCCTCCCTGGTGGCGCAATGAGTTGAGTGCTATGAAGCTGTCCGCAGCCTCTGCAATGCAGGTTCGATTCCCAGCCAGTCAGGGAGATTCCCACATGGCATGGCAGACCTCTCCTGTGCCTGCTGCTCCCCTCAGCAGTGTATTTTGGTCTTCTGCCTGTTCTGCTCCCTGCTCTGTCTCTCGTGAATCCTCTCACCCTTGCCCACCTCTGGCCTATACCCCAGCTCTTATATAAAATAAATAAATCTTAAAAAGAAAAAAAAAAAACTAAAACTAAACTTTTAAAAAAAAGGTGAGATTTCAAATAGTAGGTAAAATTCAATAGTTCTATGTTATAAGAAGTTAATTGTAGATACAAAGCAGAGGGCCAGCTTACTGTAAATAGTTGTTGGACTAGCTTGCTGCTCTTTGTATATTCATAATGAATCTAGGGCTGTCATTTATTTTTTTATTTGTGTATTTTATTTATATATATATATATATATATATATATATATATTACATCATTCTTCATTGTTGTACAATGTAGTCTTTCTTCTCTGAGGTGTAGATCCCTCTCCCTCCCCCTTACCTGCAGAATGTCTCTGATTTATAGTTCTGTTAATTGTGGGTTTTGTTTATTCTAATTTTTTTCTCCTGATACCTTATTTGGTTCCCCTATTTCCTCCTATAAGTGAAACCATCCACTATGTTTCCTTTTTCTTCCTGGGTTATTTCACTTAACTTAATTCCTTCCAGCTCCATCCATGTTGCTATGAACAGCCTGAGTTCATCTTTTTGATTGCTGAGTAATATTCCATTGTGTATATATACCACATCATCTGTTTTTGGGCATTTGGGTTGGTTCCATATATTATCTATTGTAAATAGTGCTGCAATAAACATAGGGGTGCAGTTCCTTTTGAATTAATGTTTTTATGTTCTTTGGGTAGATCCCAAGTAGTAGAATTGCTGGGTCATATGGTAGCTCCATTTTTAGTAGACTGAGAAACCTCCACACAGCTTTCCACAGTGGTTGGACCAGTTTGCATTCCCACCTGTAGTGTAGGAGAGTTCCTTTTTCTCCACATCCTCATAGGGTTATCATTTAAAGATAATCTAGAAGAGAACACTTAATAAGAATTTTATATCGGGCCTCCCTGGCAGCGCAGCGGTTGAGCGCTGGGTTGCGGGGCTGCCCGCAGCCTCTACAGCGCCGGTTCGATCCCTGGCTGCTCCCCGGCCACCAGAGGAGGGTCCCACATGGCGCGCAGACCTCTCCTGCCGCCCGCTGCTCCCCTCAGCAGTGTACTTTGGTCCTTCTGCCTGCTCTGCTCCCTGCTCTGGCTCTGGTGGGTTCTCTCACCCTCCCGCGCTTCTGACTGTACCCAGTGCTTATATGAATAAATAAATAAATATTAAAAAAAAAAGAAAATGCACATCTCTTAAAAAATAAAAAAAAAACATGCACAGGTTTTAAAAAAAAAGAATTTTATATCATATATTAAGAAAATATATCAAGATAAAAAATGAGAAGAGTAAAGTAAGGGGATTCTGATTGCTAAGTTCATGGCATTTTGGTACATCTTGGTTTCCTTTTGGTGATCCATCCTTATCATATTTTTTAGAAATAAATTCTGATATATAAACAGAACTGATCTGATGGCAACATTTTCTCGGAGGTATTTTTTATTCAGCAAAAAAGTGAACTATTTCTTTTGACTCTATGGCCCTGTCACTACATTCACACAGTTATATAATAAAAATAAAATTTTTTGAGAATCCAGTCATTGCAAGAACTTCCAATTCATGCTCTTGATATTCAATTTTGTTAACTATTCATGTAAATTTTAAAGGAGAGTCTTACATATCATATAAGTAAGTCATACTTTATGGAAATTGACTGTGCTTAGCTGATTTTTTTTCTTTATATTGAGTCTGAAATCAAATTTAATGAACTTTCTCCAAAATGGCAATTTCTCACATTCAGAATTTGTTTGATGAAACAAAGATTTCTATGCAGACATAAAAGATCTTGAAGAAAGTGGTGAGAAACCTCTGCAAAAGTCTAACCTGACAGATTTTGAACAACCTATTCAGGGCACATGCCTTAGGAGGCCAGAAACCTCCTCCTGACAGAGTAGAGATGGAGCAGCAAGATCACGGGCCTTGTGAATAATTAATAGATCAGTGTAAGAATAATTAAAATCCCTTCTTAACCTGAGGTGAAGAAAACTCCCCCAGATAAAAAAGCATTTTCTCTTCCATCGGAATTATATTATGCATTTCAATATACTGAAACTGACCCGGGTAGATAATTTGTTCTATGTGTTCTAAAGCGTGATCTACTTTATGAGATTTGTTTTGAAACTGTATTTTAGTTTGATTTTTATTAATAAATATTCAGCATCATAAACATTTCAGTAATTTTGGCCATGTAAGATGACGGTACATAGCAATATAAATGATTTTGTTTATTTGGACACCATTTATCTACCATCTACTCTGGGTGACACTTGGCAGAAACAGAAAAATAGGAAGTAAACGCCCATCTCCTATGATTTCATGTTCTCAAAGGCAAGACTGGTGTGAAATTCAATATATTCAATATATTCATTGAATTAATGAATTCAATTCATTAATCATATCATTTTCCAATAGAAGTATACTATATGTGTAACATGCTATATATAAATAGTATATATGCAATATGCAATGTTACAGATAAGATTATATATTGCATTGTATACAGTATATAGAATATATATATTGTGTATTATATATAGTATATAATCTATTTACAGTAGATATTAGTATATATTATATGTCACATGCATATATTATATACAGTATGGAGCAGGGACAGATTATCTGCTATACTATAAATATGCCCATTTGAAGCAGGGAAGAATAAGACCAGCCTCCGCAGTGACTGAGCTTTTGTTAGGCCAACATGAGGAATAAAGTTTCTTTTGCTGATACCTGATGGAGGTTTCTAAATTAGACGCTATTTCTATGGAAGCAACTTTTCATTGCCTGTGGTCTCCATGGTCCCTAACTTGCTTTCTACAAGGTCTTCATTGTCAATCTCCTTGCATTGGAGAGAATGCCATCCTTTGGGTGTGCCCACTTTCATAGTTTGTTTCCTCTTCAAATAAGGATGGTGATCTGAAATTGTTTTAATAAATTCAAAAATTTCTTCTTTGACATCATGTCATTGGTAACACAAGTCCCTCGAAACTTTGTAGTAGGCTTCTGATTCATTTATTGCCGATGACTTTCACTGGCAGTAACCATACTCAATATACGTTCCTAGACAGACCTCTTTTTTTTTCTGGGCTTGCTCATACTTAAACTTCATCTCTCAACATAATGGTGTAACTTGACATAAGTGGAACAATAGTTCTGAAAGGGAAGAGACCTTTAATTTTTTTTTGTGGAGCTGAATAACTCAATTCAACTGAAAAAATACCACTGGGTCTTGAGTACTCAATGTATTTTAACTGACATCACACCAAAAGACACAGACAGTGAATAAGTACAAGCACATTGGTATAACATGTTATATGTCATAGAGCTTCAGGGAGATACCAGTACACATTTGTCAGAATGGCCAAAGTCTAGAATACTAGCAACACCAAATGTCGGCAAGGATGTGGAGCAACAGACTTCTCAACTTTGCTAGTGGGGAAGCAAAATGGAGCAACCACTTCTACTTTGGAAGCTTCGTGGTTTCTTATAAAACCGAGTATACTGTTACCATACAATCTAGCAATTACATTCCATGGTGTTTACCCCAAGGAGTTGAAAACTTACATCCACAAAGGAGACTACATGTGGCTCTGCCCCTCTGACTTCACCAGAACTCATTTCTTCCTTCTTGACTTTTTCTCCTACATGTGTAATATATATATTTAATTTTAGTTTTTCCTTTTCTGCTTCTCCCTCTAGAAAGAAATCTCCATGAAGACAGACATGTTTGCTTTATTTACTGCTGTATCTCTAGTGCCTAGAAATGTCTGTTATGTCATAGGTGTTCAACTATATATTTTCGAATTATAGTTTTGATTAGGAAACAGGCAACATAGTTGAAATATGATGAATGAAATCACTCAGGAAGAATGTTTAGAATCAGATACCATGGAGCAGTGGAAATAAGGGAAAAAGAAGAATAGTTGAAAGACCAGATTTGATTGCAACTCACAAAACTCCTAAGAAATCAGTTGTTTCATGTGATAACACAAATCATGCCAAAGATTCTTAAAGTTATCAAATCACTTCTAGAAAGTATAGAGGGATGGTGTGAGTATGCTTATGAGTGCATGTTTGATGGGGAATTATGAGAGGGAAAGAAATTAATAGCAAGTTACTTTCAAAGATCAGATATTTGGGAGAATTCATTTCAGTTGATGGACCAGCATGGACATTTGGAAAATCTTGGTCTAATGTAAATAACAAATGTTCAGTTTTAGTCTTGTTTATTTTTCTCTAATTGCTGTGATCCTTTCATGAATTCCAAATCTACTGTTAGTAAAAATGTATGTCGACAGCTCAAAAATTAAAATAACTAGCACTCACATTTGAAAAGCAGCAAAGAATCCTTTGTCATATCATTTTCCAACAGAAGATCTAAATTAGGAACTAGGTTGGTTTTACTAAAATTTAATTTCTTTGTAACAATATTTCTCTTCTGGTGTTTAATTCTTTCAACTTGATTGCAATTCAACTAATTGTATGGAAAGAATTAGTAAACTAACTTTAAAAGACTAACTCCTTTGTTTTCTATATTCCTTTATTTTTCAATTCATAGGAAGTATCCTGTCTAATTGAATGTGTTTACAAACTGAATATGTCTACTACACTGGTGGTTCAGGAAATGAAAGGAAAAATTATCCAGTTGTACAATTACATCCATAATTTATCTGACCAGTTTCTTTCAATGGACACAATGGTGAATTCTCTGTTCGACACTGCCAATTCCCAGGTTTGTATTATTGTTTATTGCCATGTTACTTGCTGAAATGAATTCTGGAAGGCTTTATCCCTATCCTGTAACATTGGAATCCAACTGTAAAAGTACCAATTGCCATGAACAGCGTGCTCTGGCGCTCAGCTCAATGTGACAGACTGTTTGGGCCAAATCTTTCTTTGCCCTTCCATTGCCTACATTTGTCCTGTTCTACTCGCCAACTCGCATAAAATTAATTGCTAAAAATGGCCAAATGATATTTAGATTATATGGGAAATAACCTGGTAACTGATTTCCTGTTTAAAATTGCTTATTGTAAAACCATATATTAAAAGATCTTTTGGGGATGGTTGGTTGAATTTGACAGTGGCCTGGGTATTGGAAGACATTAAGGAGTTTCTATTTTCAAATACGGTAATGTTATGTCAGGGGTGTGTGTGTGTGTGCGCGCGTGTTCTTTTTGTAAAGATGCGCACTGGAAGTACTTAGAGGGAAATGTAATGATGTATATAATTTATTTCACAATAGCTCAGCAAATAAAAAGTGGAGTTATAAACTGAAAAATAAAGCCATCAATTCCCAAAACATAATTGATGATTTTCATTAGCTGTCATGCCGGCATATATTTTCTAGTGTTACTCTGTAACAGTCATTGAATGCTATGATGTGTCTGACACCCTGATAAGTACTTCATATACATGATCTTATTAATTATTCAAGAAATGTATTTGCTCGGCAATAATTTTCCTATTTAAAAATTGGAAGCAGTACCTCAGAGTGATTAAATAATTTGCTTAGATGATACACTTTGGTCACTAAATCTCCACCATGTATACCAATGCATGTATAACAGGAACATGCATGCATCCCCAAAGGTATTCATTTAAGTGGGATTTTTTATTTCTTATATATTCTTCTATATATGTATACATTATATGTATGTATCTCTTCATATATATTCTTGTATATTCTTCCTAATTATTTTAGACACAGATTCATTTACTGTCTAAGAGGGCACCTAAAGAATTTGGGTTTGCAATCCCAAATTAGAGCAGTGGTTTTCAAATTGATCACTCACTGCAGCACAGTGGGTTCCATCTCAGTCAAGAGAGATTCCCAGGAGACAGACTCCTCTTTTAATCCATTTTATTTATCAGGGTGCATGTAAAATCCCACTTGATAGAGTACTGCTACTAAAAAAAGTAAAATTTGAATAATATGGACCTAGATGAATAGGTAGATATTGTGATCCACGTGCAGTCCTTTATGACTGCTATTCATCTCAGCTAAGCTTCTGGAAGCTATTGAAAGACAGTCAGGTCACGACTGTTCTCTGGAAAGCACCTTGAGCACAATCAACTTTGCGGGGGGAGTTAAATGCAGGGCTGTCTGTGTGCTTAAGTAGGCAGCTATGCTGAGGCTGGCTGACATCTCTGGTGAAAATGAAGGCGCCTGAAAAGGGCATGTACCTTACTAGAAGAACTAACTGCACCTCTGCCCCAACGCAGCACAGTAATGCCTGGGTGTGAAGTGAAAATCATCATCACACAACAAGGTTGGGTGTTTTTTTGTACACACCCACAACTAAGTGTGCATCTTCACACCCATAGGACTTAACATGATTAATCCTTTTAGCCTGGGTTGTATATATGGATATATATGGGTAGATAGATAGAGAGATGGATAGATAGATAATCGCCCCTTAAGCTATATATAAAAGCCCCAAAAACCAAACAGCACAACTTAAACCTCCATATATCAATATGCTATAAATTGTAAAGCAACTAAATGTTTTATCTGATATGTTCACCTCCATTTTAAAACATTTTATTTGTAGTTTTTTCCTGCCAGGAAATAGGCAGTTGAAGTTACTTTTTATTAAGACCACTTATTAGATTCTGGTAATAAAATGTATTCATTTTTATATAGGGGGATAGTTATCATTCAATTGTCTGTGGCAGGGGAATATTCATTTAGAGCTCTAAAATATCTATGGGGTATGTTAAAATGGAGCAAAAGTGACCAGAACACACTTGATTTCTTTTCTCTACAAAGCCTATTCTGCCTCATCAATAACCCTTTCTCCATGTGTCTCCCCAGTGGCGCAACGGGTTGAGGGCAGTGCTGTGGAGTTGTCCGCAGCTTCTGCAGCACTGGTTCGATTCCTGGCTGGCTGGGGAGATTCCCACATGGCGAGGCAGACCTCTCCAGTCTCACCCGCTGCTCCCTTCAGCAGTGTATTTCAGTCCTTCTGCCTGTTCTGCTCCCTGCTCTGTCTCTGCTGAATTCTCTCACTCTCCTGTGCCTCTGGCCTGTACCCCAGTGCTTGTATAAATAAGCAAATCTTAAAAAAAAAAAAAAACTTTCTCCTGACTTTTAGTGTATCACAATGTAAACCTCTATGCAATGTTACCAAATGGTGTTACTCGGTGCAGTAAATCCTAAGCCACTATCCACGATCCCTATAGAAAATTTCGTGACCAAGTGGTTCAAGACAAACCGCTGTGACATGAGGGGTCCAGGAGCTGTCTACAGTTCCCCCAGAATATTGACCTGAGATTCTGCTACAAGTATTAAGCAAGAAAATAACATTCATACAACATATATTGTAATAGATTCCTAAGTTGACTAAAATAAAGAACTGCCTTTGAAAAATTAAGATGGACTATGTTCAGAGGCATAGCAAACAGGCAAAGTGATATCAACAAAATAGCTATAAAAAATCTTTATATGGTCATAAAAGGATCACATTCTCCAACCTCCCCTCCCAAAATACTATGTAGCCTAACCTTATTATTTCAGCTCCATTTATCAGAGAGCACCTAAGAATCTGGACATTAGTATTGGTGAAAAAAAGTTAATCACTCCTGTGTGAAATCAAGTGTCATTGTGCTGCAGCACCTTATTTTCAAAGTTCATACATGTGGACCATGTCTCCTTTTCAATCTACCCCCTTCTTAGTTGTATCCACAAGTTTGTGTCCTCCATTACATTACTAATAACGCAATTGTGAAAGCAACATTTTTTTTTTTAGATTTAATCAGACTCAGAATGACTGCTTCCAATTTTCATCTTTCTCATTAGCTCATTACTCTTGTTAGAAGTTTTTCAACTGCCTAACATTTGTCAAGAGCAGATCTAAACCAAAGATGTCTAAATTCCTGGGACTCTGAATAGATTAAATGAGTGTGGGTGATTTGATCCTTTGTGAAGCCCTTCCTGAAGTGCCAGGAGAGTTTTCGATGGTCTTCAAGTAGCAGCAAATTTCAAATAGAACCTGAAAGCACCTCACTCCCATTAGCATTTTCTGTGCTCACCCTTATCTTTCTCAATTCAAATTTTAAACAGAAAGATCCCATACTGTGAAAATGTGCTAATTAAATTATGCTTAAGACCACAAAACCCTTATATCGCTCCTATTTCAGATAACTCAGCATTGATACGTTTCTCTTTTTTTTTTTTCCAAAATAATAGGAAAATGCTCTTGCAAAGTGCTTAGCACAGGGTATTCCTTCAACAAGTATGTGTTTAATTGAATAAATAAATGAAAAATATTTTTAATCTTATTACCCATATGCCACTGCATGTAAACTTCTCTTACGTATTTCCACTGTCTTAATCTCCTTTGATTTTTCATTAAGACTTTCCACAAAAGAATTGGAAGGAAAAGGGATAAAAGAAATAGTGATATCCCTAAACTTTCAACACCCAAACTTTGCATAAGAAGCTAAAGACAAACAAGAAAAATGAATGAAGTATTTTGTTGTGATGTTTATATAACAAGAAAACCCAAACTGAAACAGATTAGCGTATTATAATCTCATCCATATATTTGATGTGTTTGTTGGTGTTTTCTTTTGTTGGGTTTGTTTTTGTGTTTTCCTCATTGGCTTTGGGCAGGAAATTACCAGACATCAGTGCAGTTAAATTTATTATGGAGGTCAACTCCTTCATAAAACATAAAGCAAAAATGCAAATAGTGATTTAAGAAAAATAAGTTGATTAATAAAAAATTATGAATAAATTCCACCCAGATAATTTCACACCAAATTTAATGCTTTTTCACTCATATTAGTACTTTTTTTCAGGTTGGATAATAAAAAACAAGCTTCATATTGTTTTCAACAGCAACTCATTGTGAAATGATAGATATATTCTGGAAGTATCACTCCATGTTGTAAATATGTAATTTTTGCTCTTTTCAAAATTTTTACATCAGTCATTAGTATATAGTCAACTGCATTGTTCAAGATCCCTTGTCTTATAAGTAAAAATAAAATGAAATAAAATATTCTTATCAAACTATTTTAGGTATATGAATAAATGGATTAGCTCATGCAACTAATAATTTCATATGTAGTTTCAGGAATAGCTGGATCCAGCCACCCAGAGCCACTGAGTCTTAGCTCTTCTCCCACAGGTTTAGCAACCCCGGCAGAGTCTGCTGGGTTCAGTGTTGTTCTCTGCACTAATTATTACTGGCAGGAGAGGGGTTATTCAGACTGGCCAGGTCTGGCACATCTGCACATCCCCTTTACTGGGAAGAAGGATTTTCCCACAAACTGCATGGAAACCCACAGTAAATAAGGTTTCCTTTATCCAAAAAATGAGGAGTATATTGAACATAGACTGAGCACATGCCTGGGTGTTGTAGGGGCAGGAAGGGGCACAGTGCAGGTTTTCTGATTCAGCAGACTAGGTAAAGGAGGGAGTGAGTCCTCAGTGGCTTTTCAGGCTTTTACTGGGATTTACCAGGTACACGGCAGGAAGGGTGCTGGGGGGCCGGGAGGTTTGCAGGCCTCCCAGCCCCCAGCAAGTCTTCACTCTGTTTGGGCTCTCTGGTGATCTCTGCTACTCTCGTGGTTCTTCTGCTTCTCTTCTTCTATCTCGGCTTCTGCTGGCATCCCCGTGATGCCGCCCTTAAAGCCCAGTCTTAGCCCAGGTGAATCCCATCTACCTATGCCCACACCCTACTCCAGGTGCCGCCATCAGGCATGCATTCTGGACCGCAGGGTTCCGTCATCTATCCTAATGGCAGGAGGGCAGAAAAGCCTGATACTTTTACCTTACCCTACAGTGTGTTCATCGTAGCTCCCTTTTCAATCACTTTTAAATTTTTTTTGTGGCTCATGAACATGCAATCTAAACCATCAAACTTATCTGAGTTTTGAATAAGGATTTGTATCTTCCTGTTGGGCAGTACCCACATTCCTCTGTGACAAGAAAACTGCAGACCTGAGGTTCTGGTTTCCAGACAGGGTTGGCTGTGTGGAGATGTTCATTTGCACACAGGTGGCGACTTGGGATGTAAGCTCCAGTGATTCATACTCTCCTAATTGTTCAGCAGACCTAATTATATAATGTTAGGACATCAGCTGAGCATTGACTCAGCCCAACCCTGATAATATGGTGGAAAGAGTTCACCACAACCCATTCTCATTAGGACAAATGACATATTCTTTGTAGGTTCACTTTAAAGCTATGAATAGAACTATACATAATCTAATGATATGTTTACTAAATAATGATAACCTGGCAAACTAAGAAACAAGTCTTTGCCTGCAACCAGTTTCCAATAATCAATCACAACAAAAAAGAGACAATAGCAGAAAGCTTTTGACATCTTTATACAACTATGTCTAGTTGTAATGCTGCTTTGAGGGGCCAAGAGAGAGATCAGAATTTATGGGAGTTAAAATCTATTAAATTCGACTGTGTGGACCATGCACACAAAGACTAGCACAAATTGTTCTATTCAGTGACTTCTAAGAAAAGAAACAAGTTTTAATTTGTTTCTCCATTGGATGTCAGTGTTGTGCCACTAAAATATCAGCAACACCTTTACCTTGTTAAAGAAGAACTTGACACTTTACTGAGAAGCTTAAAAACCAAAGTGTTTCCAGTAATTTCACCTGCAATGCAACTAATGAAGTCATTGCTTCTGCCTGTTAATGCCTCTGTGACGCCTTTGTTTCAGCCGCTACAGGATCCTGTTGCTTCAAAAATGAGTGTCTTCGAAAAACGACTTGAAAATGTCACCGCCACTTTGACTAACCTTCAAAACCGCTTAGAGGAGGTCAGTACTCTGTCTAGGTTGCTGCATGAGTGAGGATGATTAATTTTTTAAGAGGATAATAATTCAATTTTAAAAGATACACAGTTACTCACCTTGAGTGCAATAGCCTATTTGTTCATGTTGGAGGTAGCTGGCAGGAAGCAACACAATCATTTCTGAAACTGCAAACGGAGGTATATGGCATATCATAATATATTTATTAAGGACTAATGCAAACCACATTGAGTTATAGGAAGGAAAATGTATTCCCCAGCGTTTCGAATTTACTGAACATGAAGTACTCAAATGAGATTGTTTAGTGGAGAAGGAGGAAGAATCTCCATACCTACCTCCCCAAAGAAATACATCACTACTTACATCCTGGGAATATTTTCAGATAGATTATATTTATTGATATGAGTAGGATTAATTAATATCTGAGCTTTTACTTGCATACCTTTTCTGCTTTACTTTTCAAATGTGTGCTTTAGATTAGGAAGGTGAATGCCAAATGTATACAGAAGATACAGACCTCAGATATGAAGGTCACTTATCTTTGAATTGTTCTTTTGTCTTTAAAACAGCAGGAGAGGCTTCCCTGAATGGCTAGATAGCATTCATTCATAAACAGCACAGAAAAATTCCATGCAATAGCATAAAAGTTTCTTTGAAATGATCCCTAATCCATTCCAGGGGGGGGAAAGGGCTAGAAGACTAAATAGAAAAAAAGTCAGTGTTTCCCCTTATTTGCCATCTGTGTATGCCAATTTATTGAAGATATTTCCTCTTTTTTAAAGATTTATTTATGTATTTATACAAGAACTGGGGTACAGGCCAGAGATGTGGGGGGTGAGAGGATTCACCAGAGACAGTGTGGGGAGCAGAACAGGCAGATTGACTGAAATACACTGCTGAGGGGAGCAGCAGGCAAGACAGGAGAGGTCTGCTGCACCATGTGGGTAGCTCCCTGGCTTGGGATCGAACTTATGCTGCAGAGGCTGCAGATAGCTTCACAGTGCTGTGCTTAACCCTTTGCACCACCAGAGTGGCCCGATATTTCCTTTATTTTTGAGCTACTGTCTTGTTGCTAGTTGAACAAATGTAAAGTGACTAAGAAACAGGCAGCCCTGTATTTTCTCATAGAAAAACTGGTGCATTGCAAGACTGAAGCCAGGTTTTCGGAACCCCCAGTCAGACATGTGTGAGCTCAAACATGTAGGAGACATGCGAACAGCACTGCCTTGAAAAGGATAAGTGAAAAAAATGCAAAAGGCAGATACCTAGTCATGATTTTAGGGATACAGGTTCATATTTCTTCATATATAGGTTATTACACCAGACCCACCCCCAGAACACCCATACTCCTCCACCATAGTCCACAAGGCCCCCTCCCCTGCTGTCTGACCCTCCTTACCTTGGCAGCCTCAGTCCTGTAGTCAGGTTACAAGGGTTTGTTTAATTTGTTTGTGTCTGTTTTTTTTTTTCTAATTTGCTTGTTTATATTTCACATAAGTGAGATCATCCAGTTTTTCCCTTTCTCCTTCTCTTATCTCATTTAGTGTAATCTCCCCACCCCAGATCCATCAGTGATGTGACAAATGGCAAGAGGTCACCTTTTTTAGAGCAGAGTAATATTCCATTGTGTGTACATACCATATCTTACACCACTCATCTGTTGTCGGCTATTTTAAACAGTTCAGTTACCACTTCTTTACATCCAAAATTATGTTGTGGAAATGACATATCCCAGGGAGGGCTAGGTGCCTGTTAATGCTTCAATTAGAGGAATGAGCTCTGAATCTAATAGTTGAAGATGCCAGTTACAGCTTTAAAAAATGTACTTGTGTGACACAAATTTGCCCCATCTTTTGGAAAACAGAAAAGCCCAAGAATCATACATGACAACCAGTTAGAGGCAACTTAAATATTACAGAAGATATTCAAAAGCACAGTTTGGCCTTTGACTTCTGCAACTTAGATATTCACAGCAGACAGAAGGTATTAACAATATTCCTTCAGAAGACTGTAAAATTCCTGTTAAATCAACTGTAGACCCTTTTTTTCTACTCACCCAAACACCATAAATAAAATGAATGAAAATAGCATATTATTATAGAATGGCTTTGAATTTCACCTATTTTTTAAAAGGTTAAACACATCTGTGTTTGAGAAAAGGTCTCAGTTCTCATCCCAGCCAGAAGAGAGTGACAGGGAAATCATAGTTTGAGAGGAATCTAGAAATAGTGAATAAAATCTATATCTGCATCTCTAAGTTTCCTGAAAAAAAAATATGGTCTCTTGCTATTATAATCCCCATAGCATCTTCACAGTCCTATTTAGTCTATCTGTAATGCCCATTCTCCCAGCTAGACTGACTATAAGCTCCTTGAAGGTCTGGGTCTGCTGTTCTCCCTAAGACAGTGCACTTGACACTTGTCCACTCAGTGAATACTTTTGGGAATGAATTAATGAAAATGATGACTATCTCAAAAATGTTGACCTTGTACTGAAAATATTTTGTTGTTTATTGTAAGTGAAATTAATGCAATGAAATTTCTCTAGTGTGAAGAAAATATATATTTCCCCTGAGAACCTATAGTCATTTATTTCATTATATACTCTCTTATTTCATTATATACTCTCTTATCCCTGACACTTCAATGGGCTAAATAAATATAGCAAAGTGCAGTCTAAACATTTAATTTAATCAACGGAGACACATTAATGTAGGCAAATGAAGCTATGAAAAATTGAGCTTGGATTTAAACACCTAAAGTAATGAAATTAACTGGATAATTAATAAGATTCCAATTCCACTTGTAATACGTGGACATAGCCTTTAGAAGTATAATTGTGATTTTCTCCCCCTACTTTTTGGTAAAATTTTGTTCCAAAGAGTTAATAAAGCACATAAATAATCCTATAAAAGTCAAAGAAGTTTGTGATTCAGAGAAAGCTTGAAGTTTATGGAATCTAATGTTTTCATTCAAAAAAAAAAAAAGATTGAAGCTTAAAAATACTTAAATAATTGCCCCAATTTCTATTACAAGATTGACATCTGAATAGTGTTTTATCTCCAGCACAGTGTTTCTGACACTGAAACATTCTGACTCAAGTTCAGAGTTCATTTGTAAAAATAGAGATAATTTTGCTCTGTAGAGCCAAATGAAAACCAGAGACTGCATCGTCTGGCAGGTTATTTTAGTTAAATAACACACACAAGGAAAACAGGTCGACAAATACGCTTGAGTAATTATAAGGACAGCTCCACTCCCTCATCCCCAGACATGATGGGAATAAAATGTGATGGGTAATGGCAGATTATGGAAAGCAGAAAATGTTCACACAGGTTCTCTGTTGACTCCCATCTGAATTCCGTGGAGCTTAGTCCTCTTTATGGAATTCAACCTGTTGGAACAAAGATGATGCTTCTTTCAGAACTGAAGCATATTCAGAACTGTTAGCGCAGGGGCTGAGCTTTAACTGCAGAATGGAAGCATAGCCACACCAGCACGACACTTGCAGAAAAAAATGTATCCATAAGTTTTCCTCTCTACACAAATTTCTTAAAATGAAATGTAAAAATCTTCAGCAAAAATTGCTTCTTTTCTGCGCTCTCCTTCATACCTACCCATATATAACTTTCTTTCTGAATAAGTTTACTAAATTTCTCTATTTTTGTTCCCATCTCTTACCTTAGCAACTCCCAAGATTATATACAGTATTGGCATTGTACTCTTTAGCAGGGAAAAAAAGAAAAAAAAAAACCTGAATAAATAAATCTGCATTTCACCACTAGGTGTCACCAAAGGATTGTGTAGCAAACCATTGCTCAGCTCATAGTCATTGACCTCTGACTCCTATCCAAAAAATGATTTGTTCTATTTTTCATCAGAACCAGAAAATCACAATTTTAGTAAAGTGTTTTCCACACTAATTTCTCAGTGATTAAATGATGTGTTTCTACCTGAGCAATATCTTAAATATTAATATAATTAAAATACCTCTTAATAGAAACATCACACTGTATCATTTACCAGCTCCTAGTAGAGCTGCTTCATGCTAATACATCTATATTCATATATTCATAATCAATACATAGGAATATAATTTCACTCTAGTTTTCATTAGGAAGTAAGATTAGATTGGTCTGTTTCACCATGAGATGCCTCACTAATGTCAGAAATACAATACCGCTTGCAACTGAAACTATTCCTATGTCATTATGAACATTATTATGAGCCCAAGATGAATTTAACAATGGATTTTACAAACTTAATTGATTTAAATGATTTGAATAGACACTTTTCACCTTTAGATTAATTCCTACATGGAAGAATAATGGAATTATTTGCTTCATAAAGTTTTATAGTAGATTTTCCTTTAAAGAACTAATTTCCTTACCACTTGTATAATTTTATATGAAAAATCCAATCTAATGATCTCTTCTTTGATTAAAATTGGTAGGTTGAGGTCCACCTGATTGATAGATTTTTAAACCGAAAGAGATCAAAAAGTTGATAATAAAATAACAAATAAGTTCTCTTAAATACACAATTTTTTTCTTTCTCATGAGCTATCAGAAACCACTTTGGGTATAAAATGTTTTCCCTGGATGTACTTTGTAGCTTCTACTTCTTTAGAAAACATAATTTGATATGCTGGAAACCATTATTTTGGAGCATGTTTTATATTCTTTTAAGCACTCACAAATTATTACTTGCTTTCTAGGAGTTGGATGATGTTTTCTTACAACTTTATCAACTTAAAGATAATTTCTATTTTCTGGAAAATACATTGACTATCACCCAGAGGGAACGTTTAAATGATCACACATCTACAACTCTATCCTTCCAAGAAAAAAAAAAGAAATTAAATACTCCTGGACTACCATTTGCAACAGCTAGTCAAAATTATGATATTTCTGGTATGTTGATCATTTGCTTATTATTTTACTGATAATTTGCTTTGGGATGAGATCAGAAAAGGGTGGGCATGGTACATGTTTAATTCATTGCTTTTGCACCTAATTCAGGCACATTTTCTGGCATATATTAGGTCATTTGGATGTGCTTGCTGCGGAGTGAGCAAATTCATGAACGATAACAGGCAATAATCATTACAAGAGAGACTTCAGATTTTTTCATACTAATCCCAAATCCCTCAGGTGAAAGTAACGACAAAAACATATTGGTAAAGAGTTAACCTGGGCAACATTTTATTTCTCCCAGTTATATTTCAAGGACTTTTATTAACATTTTGTGAATGGCGGAAATGGTCCAACTTTTGCACAGCAACTTGAAAAAAATTGAGACATCAATTTGTAATTAACAAAACTTTCTTTGAAACTTTTGTTTGGTTGTGCCATATTCCTTATAAACCAATAACTTTTTTATTCAGTCCACACTGGCCAGAGATAGAATTTGGAGGGAGTTGTAATGTTTTATAGAATGTGGTGTTTCCTTACATTTAGGAAAAGGATAAAGATTTGGTGTGATCAACAGAGAGAATTATGAATTGTATTGGTTGTCCTCACACTTTGGTAGAATTATCTTCCCTCCAACCTTTGTTGATTTGGCAATATTTATCTAACAAGGAGTGATAGCCAGGCACTGCTGTGGCCAACAGAGAACTTGACCCTGCCCTCACAGGGGTTACGGTCTCATTGACAGAGATAAGCACAAGTAAGATGATTTTAGATAATGCTGAGTGTTGTGAAAAGTCAAAGTGGGTTACTTAAAGAACGGGGATACATTTTCTGAGGAGTTTTATAATGAAAGGAAAAGAGAATACTTAGAGGAAGACAGAATTCTTTTTCAAAAATGGATGATACCAAGAAATCTTTTTATTCTTCTGGGAGTGCTGGGGAAAAAGGGAGATATAGTAATATGTAGGAAAGATGGTAACTACTTGCAGTACAACCTTGAAAAATCAGATGGAAGCAGAGAGGAGTTTATAATGGGAGCTGAGACATCCAGCCTTTCTGAGACATGGAAGCCCGGCGGGCCGGTGGGTGAGAGAATCAACACAAGGGCAACTTCAGAACTGTTTTTTGTTTTCTGGAGGAAGTATGCTATGTAGTCTGAAGCAGTGATAGTGCTGAGACTTAACCCCAAGACCACCAGGGAGGCCCCAGAGAGAGATTTTTAAGGTGTGATGTTCCAGAAAGTGGCCAGGTTAAGATTTCCATGCCAATTAATAACCTCAAATTTGGGCTCAACCACCTTTCTGATCAAACAGCTGTGTGGACAATGACAAACAGAAAGAACAACTCCAAGGAGCGCCAGGATCCGAACGTGGCATCAGCCAGTAAGCAGTCTCGGTGCCCAAGACAACATCTTGTGCAGCCTGGTATTCACAGCACACGGTCTAGGGGCGAGGATAGCCTGGAGCTCATTAAATGCACCTCCGCGTGAACAAAGAAGTGAATCCTCCTGAATAACCCCTGCTGCACAAGCACTGAGTAGGCAGGGAAAAGGAAATGCAACAGGACCCAGTGAGAATGGGCAGTCCTCAGGTCCTGTTTCCAGTGGAAAGGCTGTGGAATTAGGCATTCAGTGCCAGGTCACATGGCGTGATGCTCTTAGGATGAGGGAGCTATTTTATGCTGACATATCGTTTGCCGAGATCTCCTACACCAAACATGTGTCTGTTTATTTTCTCACATTTCTTAGGCCAGCATCACAGATGATTTGTTCTCTTTTAAACAGCTATTCCAGAAAGAGCATCACAAGCTCCTGCAGAAGCTATGGATTCTGGGATATTGGAAGAGAAACCCAAGATAACCATTTCTTTCATAAAGAATCTTACAGGTGAGTTTCACAGTGTGAGAGGAAGCTGGGTGTCCAGGACATCATCTGGATGAGTCAACGAGTTAGAATCATTTGTCTCTGTGCTACCTTCCTAATTCTTGGGCGTATTTATCTGATAGATATAAAACATCAAGTGTAATTTACGTGCCCACATATTTTTTTCCTTTGCCTTATCACTCCATATATTTTTATACATTTAAGTCTAAAATCTCTCTGGGGCTAGAGATGACTGCAAAGTATAGTTTCTTCATTTTTTCCTGCAGCATTACTATTGTTTATTCTGCAAAATGAAAGGAAGAGCCATAGGAACTTAAATGCTTAGTATTCAATTTTTTGAGGCGTAAACCCAATCCACACTCAGGCTGTGTATAAAAAGTGTCCAGTTCTTAACTTTTAATGAATCTTTTATTATCTGCATATGCATGAGTAATACAATAATATTAATTCATGAAAAGATAATGGAGTCTTCCAAAATGGTGAAAATGGTCATTAAAAGATATAATAAAATGACCACATGTTGCCTGCCTTTAATAGAATACGGTCATATGTTGTTCTTGTCTTATTCCAAGCTTTCTACTCATGTTAAAATAATGTCATTGTTGTGTGTTTGTCTTTAATAACATCTTTATTGACAACTAGTTAGCCTGCCATATATTACAACACATAGTTTGTGTGTGGTTGTAGAGGGGGCAGAAATGGACACAGTGCAGGTTTTCTGATCCAGTCGACTGGGTAAAGAAGGAGTCCTAGAGAGTCCTCAGTGGGTTTTGCAGGCTTTTATTGAGATTTACCGGGTACATGGCAGGTAGGGGTGCTAGGGAGTTGGGAGACTGGCAGGCCTCCCAGCCTCTAGCAAGTCTTCACTCTTTCTGGGCTCTCCGGACTTCTCTCACGTTTTCTCTGCTTCTCTCGCAGTTTTGCTTCTGCTTCTCTGCTTCTTTTCTGCTGACGTCCCTGTGATGCCGCCCCTAAAAAGCTCAGTCTCAGCCCAGGTGAATCCCATCTACCTATGCCCACACCCTACTCCAGGTGCCCGCCATCAGGCATGCATTCAGGACCACAAGGATCCATCATCTATCCTGATGGCAGGAGGGCAGAAAGCCTTATAATTTTACCTTACCCTACAGCGGTCTACAAATCAGGATATATGTAATTTATTAATTTTACATTTGCTGATACATGTGGACAGTGCATGCTGTATTTATACCATCTATAACTTCTTCAGGGTGGCAAGGGAGAAAGGCAACTATTATACAAGCAGATCAAGAACAATGTGGATGTAATTGTCAAAGGAAGAGCTTTCCTACTCTTCCCATAGACTTTTCGCTGAAAAGAATTAACTAAGCAGTTAACTCCACCGACTTTGCTGAGAACCTGTACCCTGGTAGATACTGACTAAATGTTAATGAACAATAAAGACATGGTGCGTGAGGTGGGGACCTGAAGGGGAGAAAAGAGAATAAAGAGGGTTTAATACTGGGAGAAAGTTAGAAAGGCCACTTATGGCAGAGTGGCCAGAGCTGTTAAATATATCTTATCTAAATATGCTCATTCCTGTCACTACCCCAAAATCTCATCCTTGATCCTAACACGCTGATGCAGAAGCTTTGAGACAAAATGACCTAGATGCTCTCATTCATCAGACAAGCATTTTTTGTATGTTTCTTAGGCTAAGGTGTGTGCTACATGCTGGGAAAACATATAAAATGTCACCAAAACAGTGTCTTCTGCGGGGAAAAGAGTATGTGAACAATTATGAAGAGTAGCCGTTGTAGTGTAAATGCAGATGATCAGGCTTTTACACCATTGGCCTCTGTGGCTATCACCTGTGGCCTTGACATACTGTCAATTAATCAGTTCTTAGTGGGTCCATGGGTGCGGGGTACGAGTGCCTGACTGTGGGCACCTGAGCGTGGCTGTGTGCATGTGAGCAAATGTGCCTGCAGGCCAGGGATGTAAGGGCGGAGCTAGTCAGAGACTGAGCGGGTAGAGAGGGAAGAGTCAAGAGAACTCCCGAAAAAGCCCAGGGAAAAGAGCATATAGAGATTCACAGGGAGCTCGGAGTTGCTGTCTCCCTGCTGGGTTGTTTCCCTGCTTACCATCAAAGCCAGTGATAAGATGCCAAGGGCACACAAATTCTCTTTCAAGGCGCTAGAACCAACGGTGAACCTACCTAGCCTGGGCTGTTCGTAAGAGCCAAGAGCACAGAAAGTCAGAAGAAAAAATGGGGGCGGAGGGTATAACCCCGGCTGAGAAGTCTTGATCTAAAGGGGAAGTTGTAAGATGAGATTTGAAGAGGAACGAGCTCCCCAAGGAAAGCGTGAGGACTGACTAGGGAGAGGTGAAAGAAGTACTCTAACTTACTGTATTAGACAGAGCATAATACATAGGCGAAATTGCAAGGAGAAATTGATTTGGCTGGTGAGTAAGTAGAAAGAAATAGGAGTGTAGTACGTGGCAAGAAAAATTTGGGATGATGTTAAGCACCAAAAAAAATTGAAAAGCTCTTTTTTTTTTTTTTTTAATCTTAGGAGTTGGAAGCCACATAAAAACTTTGATTAATTACAAGTAATGTGATAGAGTTTGCACACTCACGCAAGAGAAAAATAGGTTGTACAGATGGTGACATGGAGAACAATTAGGCAATGTGGCAATCAGTGGGGAAGAGATAGGCTTCTAAACTAATGCAGCAGCAACTAGAGACTCAGACTCTAAGGACGTGGTTTTGAGTAAGGGGGTGTCTAGAGTGATTTATTAAAGGGCCTGTGATTCCTCAAGAGAGGACATGCAGAAAAAATGATTAGGAGAATGGAGATAAGAAACTACTGATTTTATTGAGTGTGTTTTATGTGCCAGGCACTTTTATGCCATATATTTTCAATTGTTTTAAAAGATTTGTTTATGCATACAAGGGCTGGGGTGCAGGCCAGAGGTGCAGGAGGGTGAGAGGATTCACCAGCGACAGAGTGGGGAGATCAACTGAAATAGACGCTGAGGGGAGCAGTGGGTGAGTCAGGAGAGGTCTGCTGCACCATGTGGATCTCCCTGGCCGGGGATCGACCCCGTGCTGCAGTGGCTGCAGATAGCTTCATAGGTTGCTTCTTAACCCCTTGTGCCACAAAGGAGGCCCAATTTTTTTTTTTTTAATTGAGGCAACATTGGTTTACAGCACTGTATGATTTAGAGGTAGTATACAGTAAATAAATTTTTCAGACTTTTTGCGCCACTAGCCTCATGGCTATCACCTGTGGCCTTGACCATGTGAAAGCAGAAGGCATGTGGGTGTGAGACACTCTGGGCACCTGAGCTGGGTGTGGGCATGCGCAAGTGGGCACACCTGAGCCTGGAGGCTGAGCTACGAGCGTGACTACTGAAGAGGCGAGACCACGAGACAACGTGAGAGAGAGCGCAGGCCAGAGAAATTCATGTGGGGCTGGGAGGCTCGGTTAGCCTGCCCGGCTCCCAGCTGCCCCCTGCCTGGCCCATGCCTGCCTCCTTGCATGCCAGCCTCTCTGCATGCCAGCCTCTCTGCCCATGTGCCAGAGAACCGGGTGCCAAGAGAGCATTTAAGCCTGAAAAATCAACTCGGGGCTCCAGGACTCTCTTTATCCATCTGTCAGAACTGATGGTATGCCTGCCCCGTGCATGTTGGCACAACAGGTAGGATCAATTCTCTTCACAAGTCTGTTAACCCACCACATCCTCGGTCCTCCACTGCTGTGCACTGTGCCCATTTCCTGCTCTTCCTCCTCCTTACCCCCTGCCCCTCTGGTAGCCTCAGTTCTACAGCCATAATTTAATCTTGCTGCTGAATCACAACATTTTATTTTTTTATTTTAATTTTTTTTCATTGTTTACATCACTGTTCATTTTTAAACAATGTTTGCTTCCCCCATCTCCTCGGGTGTAGTCCCCATAGTTTCCTTCCCCAATGCGCCTGTGCACGATCACCTCAGTCCCCTATGCTGCTCCCTTCCTCCCTCTGATCCCTCTCCCGCCTCCTCCCCTGCAGGATGTCTCTGGTTTATAATTGTCCATTTTTGCTTTGTTGTATTTTGTACTGGTATTATTTTTTTACACTGATGTCTAATTTGATTCCCCTGTATTCCTGCTGTAAGTGAAACCATCCGATATTTTTCTTTTTCCTTCTGGCTTATTTCATTGAGCATCATTCCTTCTAGCTCCATCCATGTTGCTGTGAATGGCATGAGTTTATCTTTTTTGATTGCTGCATAATATTCCATTGTGTATATATGTCACATCTTCCTGATTCAGTCATCTATTTTGGGGCATTTGGATTGTTTCCAGGTTTTACCTATTGTAAATAGTGCTGCAATAAACATAGGGGTATAGGTGCTCTTTTGAATCACTGTTTTTGTGACCTTTGGGTAGATCCCTAGTAGTGGAATTGGGGGGTCGTATGGTAGCTCCATTTTAGTAAATTGAGGAACCTCCAGACAGCTTTCCACAGTGGCTGGACCCATTTGCACTCCCACCAGCAATGCAGGAGAGTTCCTTTTTCACCACATCCTCGCTAACATGTGTTGTTGCTAGTTTTGTTGATATGTGCCATTCTCACTGGTGTAAGGTGGTATCTCAGTGTGGTTTTGATTTGCATTTCCCTGATAATAAGGGATGTTGAACATTTTTTCATATGCCTGTTGGCCATTTGCATTTCCTCTTTGGACAAATGTCTTTTAAGTTCTTCTGCCCATTTCTTGACTGGATTGTTTATTTTGTTTTTGTTGAGTTCTTTGTATATCTTTGTGATCAGTCCCTTATCAGCTGAATGGAGTGCAAAGATTTTTTCCCAATCAGTGGGGTGTCTCTTTGTTTTGGTTAATGTCTCTTGCTGGGCAGAAGCTTTTCAGTTTGATGTAATCCCAGGTGTTTATCTTTTCTTTGACATTCTTTGCTTTGGGTGATGAGTCTTTAAAGATGTTGCTCAGAAGTATGGCTTGCAGTGTTTTTGATGAAATGGAAGGATGGACCAACATTTTCTAAGCCAAGCACAGATGAATTTGCATGTGTTATACTTATTTTAGCTTAGAATTTAGCTTATTTTCTCGAAGGAATTTTATATCAAATGATCTGCATTGTGAGAAGCCTGACACCAGCAGTTTGAAAGCTGGGCATTCTGACCCAGTATTCAGCACTCAGGGACTGAGGCAGGCATCCTATGGAAAGGCACTAACTAGCGAATGAATGCAGAGCCTGTTTAACAATGATAACCCGGAGATAAAAAAGGCTGATGTCAGCTGGGAACGTGTCCTTACTGTGAAGTCACCTCCCTGTCCCGTGCACTCCTGTCAGACCAAAACACTTGGACTCATGCACCACATTTTTCTCAAACTCCGGGCCTTTGTCCATAGGGTCATGCCTGTCACTAACTACCTCTACTTCACTGTCTGGTGAGCTTCTGTTCTGATACCACTAAAACAACCCCAGGTGGCTGGAATCTTCCCTCATTCTCTCTGCTTCAATGGCACATTGTCTCTACCTACAATACAGTGTATATCCCACTGTTGATTGGAACTGTGTGCTGGCTGGTTTGTCTCCTTGAAGTCAGGGACTATGGTTTCTTCATCCGAGCGTGCCCAGTATCACATACAGTGACTGGCACTTTAGAAACAGAGAAAACAATGTTTGATTGTATTTTAATAAAGGCAGAACTTATAGCCGTGAGGATGACAGGATAAGGATACTGACAAAGGAATCTTCTTTAGTGATGTTATCAAGGAAGAGACACTTGATTCTATCTATGAAAATAAGTTTTATAGATGCTATCAACTACACAGTGATGTCCATGTGTTCAGAAAGGACAGGGGAAAGAGTAGGCAGATTTTGATGTTAAATTTAGAAATGTTAGGAAGATAGAAGATAGGTAGAGACGGTTTGTAAGTCAGACAGGAAAAAGTTCTTTAAAATTTAGTCGGATGGATGTTTTCAGTAATAGTTGTAGGAGAGCAAGTTGATCCAATAAACCTATCAAAAAGTAATCTCGGGCCTCCCTGGTGGCACAGGCAGTTGAGCGCTGCTCTGTGAAGTTGTCTGCGGTCTCTGAAGCACGGGTTCGATCCCAGCCAGCCGGCGAGAATCCCACACGGCACAGGGGACCTTTCCTGTCTCGCCCGCTGCTCCCCTCAGCAGTGTATTTCATCAGTCTGCCTGTTCTGTTCCCCACTCTGTCTCTGGTGAATCCTTTCACCCTCCCGCGTATCTGGCCTCTACCCTGGCTCTTGTGTAAATGAATAAAATTAAAAAAAAAAAAAAAGTAATCTCCATGACTGGGAATATTCTATGTGAATAAGGCAAATGGAAGAGAAAAGCACTGTCATTTAAACACAAAAATGCCATGAGAATACAGATTAACAGATTACTCAAGTCAGTGACCAGATGATTTGGAGTAAAGGGTGATTTTGGAGTAAGGACTATCAAGTTGTTTAGGAGCTGAACAGCAGAAGCCCAGCCTCAAAGTCAATGTCCAGCCAAGGGTGCGGACAGTAGGACTGACTGGTAACAGTAGCAGGACACTGATCTGAAGGCACATGAACATCTGAGTTGCACTACACAAACCCTTTTTATCCATAGATCTCCAAGTCCTTTTCTACAGCGCTGACAGCGACGCCAATGGGTATTTAACATATGATGAAATCCAGAATCTTCTCGGGGAAGAAGCACCAGAGCAGGAAGAACTAGAGCTGTTTGATGCTGATGACAACAAGGTATTCTCCTACCTGGAGCTCAGGAGAGCGCTTGGACTGACCGGTAAGGGGCTCAAGGGCTGCCATCGGTGAAATTCGGTGTGTAGGAAGCCTTAAACAACCCAAAACTAGCCAGTAACCCACAACTCACAAATTTTAGTTTACAGTTATGAAGACTCAAAAGTAACTCACAAACACGGCTCCCCAGCCATACACAATGACTGTAACGAGTCATTAGCTTTAATCGTGTGATTAGTGGTTCCTGTCTTCAGGAGGCATAGTAATTAGCTGTCTTTTGTATTTGCTAATGGTCTTTAGAATGATGCCCTTAAGACAGGAACTTTAAAGCCCAAATGGTATAAAGTGATGATGAAAGAAGGACAATAGAAGGCTATTTATCCCTCTGATAGAATAAAAACAAAGCACTATAAAGTATGGAATCAGATTCTAGAATACCTTTAAATTTTTACTGGTTACCCCATCTGCTTTTAGTTTGAGTTTTCAGAGATTCTATTGTCTGGGGAATTTGAAATCATTTGCCATAAATATTTAGCAGTAGTTTAGCCAGTCACATCAGGAATCACAAAAAGAGAAGGTTTTTTATGCTTACCTGAGAAAATTCAAATGTGGGGGGAAAAGGAAATATTTGTTTCAGCCTTAATTCTTTTGAAAAAATACTAAAGCTGACATCTGGAAGGTAGCAGAATAATAAAATATCCTTGCTCATAAAAGAAATTTCCATGTAGATGAATGATACCTTTATCTATTGACTTTTAAAACTGGAAAATGATAAATTATTAATTTGCTGTCATTTCCCCCTTATTTGAGGAAATAAATGATAAGCAGAGATAAGTTCTGCCTCTGTCCGGCTCAGCACTCTCCAACAAGCACAATTGTGGCCCCTGAGTCAGTACAGCTACAAGCTCAGCTGCCTGTGCTGGGGACTGGGTTGCTAGAACATCACAGGCATAGTAGGACCCGCAGGCCAACCAGGCCTGGATGCTGCCAAAGTCGTGCATTTGCCAAATCCCATTAACCTCTCTGGTCCTATATTCAAGACCTTTAAAGGTCTTTGCTTGACTTTGTCCCTTCCCGCCTACTCTCTGGGGGCAAAGCAAAGAACACAGATCACATGGTTAGAGGAACCATCTCTCCAGCTCAGGTAAGCGCTTCTCTGGAATATCCCTGAAATGTACCAACTGGATTAAAACAAAACAAAACAAAACAAAACAAAACAAAACAAAACATGGTGAAAAGAGGAGAGGCATTCTGAAGTCATTCTCAATCAGAAACTGCTAACTCGTTCCCCAGTTGTCCTTGCTTTGCTGCCCACACCTCTCTGCTCATTGACCAAGACCAAGCCAATGCCTCCTAAGTGGAGGAAAGATCTTGCAGGCCTGGGGCCAGTGTTAGGCCTTTGCATCTACCAGATAGCTGGCTGCAGATCCAGCTGCTTCTGTTCCTATTAGGTGAACAGATGTTAAGTTCATATGAGTGATGCTTAGTGACCAAGAATTGAAGAAATAGATAAAATACCACCTGGTACAGAGAAGCCTGATGGGGAGCATAGGTGTTAAAGAGGCAGCTTCCATGGGAAGATAAAGGCCTTTATCTGCCCAAGCAATTTGTGTAAGAATTTTATATTTTTGTAAAGATTTGGGCCTCCCTGGTGGTGCAAAGGGTTAAGACACAACCTATGAAGCTATCCTCAGACACTGTAGCACGAGTTTGATCCCAGCCAGCCAGGAGCATATGGCACAGCAGACCTCTCCTATCTCACCAGCTGTTCCCCTCAGCAGTGTATTTCAGTGAGTCTGCCTGTTCTGTTCCCCGCTGTCTCTGGTGAATCCTCTCACCCTCCACACCTCTGGCCTGAACCCCAGTTCTTACCTGCCTAAATAAATCAATCTTAAAAAAAAATAAAGATTTATACATCAATCTTAAAAAAAAATATGCAGGTAAGAACTGGGGTGCAGACCAGTGGTGTGGGGTGAGAGGATTCACCAGAGACTGAGTGAGGAGCAGAACAGGTGGACCTACTGAAATACTGTTGAGAGGAGCAGTGGGTGAGTCAGGAGAGGTCTGCTGCGCCATGTGGGTTGCTTCTGGCTGGCAGGGGATCCAACTCATGCTGCATTGGCTGCGGATAATTTGATAGTCCTGTCTTCAACCCCTATGCCACTAGGGAGGCCCCTGTATAAGAATTTTAATTTGACCAAGTAGGGGGACAGGAAAGAGTTGAGTGAACTGATAAACCAGTTCCAAACCAGTTCACTGGGTACTCAATCCAGGGTGCCCTGAGGTGGGTGATGTGCTTGATCGGTGGAAGTGTTTCTCCCCAGACCCAAAAGAAAATGCCACTGCCTGTTCCCACTTCCACATTCCAAATGGCAATTCAGCTAGAACACAGAAGACTTTCAATACAACTGGACATTTTCTCAGTTTGGCGTTCTATAATCTGGAATGCAGGACTTTCTAATTGTGTTTCCGTATTATGTTCCAAAAAACAAAGCCACATTAGATAAAAAGTGTAGCATGCACCCAGGCAAGGTGGGGTGAGTCAGAAAATGCAAAACAGAAGAAATCCCAGGACAGGAAACCACAAGTGTGGAAGGTGGAAGAGACCAGGAAAAACAGCTTCATGATATCCGCACGAAATATGAAACTGGCTTCTTATTCAAACTCATCATTAATTGTGCTTTCACAAATGATCAGATTGACACAGCCATTCGCTGGGGATCTAGCATATTTATTTAAAAGTGTCTGCGTGCACTTGTCCCTTGCTTTCAGTCTCTTGAATCCCAAAGTGTTGAAAACCTGCCTTGCCGGGGCTAAGTTGAATTCTTTGTAATGAGGATTTAAATTAAACTTCTAAATCTCGAAATATTTTTTTTTCAGAATAAATAAGAAGATGGATGTTCCAGAAAGAAGAAAAAATCAGAGCACTAGTTTGATTTTATTTTATAACAATTTCATCTGATTTTCACAATATTTTAGCAAGAATTACAGAGCTGCATCTGACCTAGTTCTTAAAACTCTACTTCTTTGATTTTTTAAAATTTCATTTCTAAAGAATTATATTGTATAATTTAAATGCTTACTACACATGTACACTCCAATCTGATACACACACACGTGTGTATACAGATTTATATATAATTTGCTTCATTTTTCTTTCTTTTGCCAAGGCTTATTTAATTGTTGATGCTGGCATTTTAAGCCCTCTAGAATTGTTTTACTCATAAATCAAACTTCTTGTTATAACCAGAAGGCAGCATCAGGATTGCCACAGAATTGATGATTTTCATATCACAGCCTTGGGATTTTTCCAGATACCTAGTTTCTAATTGTCAGTTCCATACATTGGTGAATAAAATGCATAGATGTTACCCAGCAATACAGCACTGCACATCATCCACACCTGGACATTTAATTTTACATTTAAAAGCCCATTTAAAACTCAGAAGTTCCCATTACCTGCTAAAAGAAATGCTCAGGAACATCGATTAAAGAGTAACTAAAGTAGAATTAACAGAAAGATATAAAATCTTCCTTTCAAATACATTAGCTACTTTACACTCTCATGTCATGCTATGCTAAGTAAAAAACGTAGATTTTTCAATAGCGAATCCCAGTAGCAAAATTATCTCTTGTCTCTGATCCTGATAACAAACAGTTCTTGTTGTCTTATACTTCCGATCAAGATAGAAAGTTAATACTAATATTAGAATTAAGGATTCAAAGCTTACGAAAAAATGCCTGGCTATTAAATTAAGTACTCGACCAATTCTTTGTAATAGGGAATGATCATTTACTGTACAAAATAGGGTGCCTGTAAGTTAAAATTAATCATAGTTAGAATCTACTAAAGCAATCAAGTACTTTCAGTTGTATAAAATTCAGTAGAATTTCAGGTTTTATTAACACATGAAAATGCTTTGTAATACCTGAGGCATTTAATGCTGATACTAGACTTGATATTGGACTGCACTATAATTCCTTCATTTGAGTAACAGTATAATTTTATATATAGTTCTTATTTTCCAGTCTGAACTGGATTATTTATTGCTTTGTTGAACTGCTGGTATTATTACACTAAGTAGGCATATTATTAATCTTGTGAACTATATGAATTATTTCTTAAATCATGTTTCATTTACCCACGAGAATATGAATTATATGATTATCGTATGCCTTTTGGTTTATAAGTTTTGAAAACTAAGAGTATCCAAGCCATCCTCTTGCTAGCCATTATTCAGCAACCCAAATACCCAAGTCATTGGGAATTTATAATATTTTGCTGAAAATTGACAAAGTGAAAGTTTGAATTGTATGAATTTCTAAGGCATTTCTCAACAAAATTTGTTGGAGAAATCTTGTGTTCTCTGCCAAAAATTTCGTTAGCATTCTTGCACGAAATATATGCCTTTAAAAGCTGGCTAAAAACCTTACTATCTCAGAAATACGGATAAGAAGCTTCTTCATATATATTTTGGAGAATTTTTACTAATAGAAATAATGACTTACTTTGTGATATGACTTAGTTTTTTTTTTTAATTATTTAAAATTGTTTTCAATTACCCCAATTTCAAATTGCCATTCTTTAAAGTGATTTTATATTTAAAAACTAGCTGATTTATTGAGAATGAAAAATGAATTAATTACACCCTCAGTAATAAAACAAATCACTGAATAATCCCTTGAGTTGTTATTTAATTTTGGCTCTCACTTTTAATTTATTATCTTTTTTTGGATCTCTCACTTTTAAATACTGCTTTTAAACTTGGAATCATTCAATTTTAGTAGCATTTTAGAATTGTGTCAGTAGCTGAGTTTTGAAGAATGATGACAAGAAATAACCATTCTGCCCAGTGGCCTCTGTCATCTGACCTCCCACAAGGTGAGTAGATTCATCAAGTGGTTGGAGAATTAAAAGACACCAAATTTTTTCAACAGCACTTTCAAAAACTGAAAGAACGATGATATGAAAAAGGTCAGTCTATTCAGTATATCCGGGGCTAATCCGTCATATTGGGATCTTGAGTTGCTGATTCCATGCTAGTCATTTTGTTTATGTATGTATACATACAAGAGCTGGGGTACAGGCCAGAGATGTGGGGGGTGAGAGGATTCACCAGAGACAGAGTAGGGAACAGAACAGGCAGACTGACCAAAGTACACTGCTGAGGGGAACAGCAGGCGAGACAGGAGAGGTCTGCTGGGCCATGTGGGACAGCACCCAGGAGGGGGATTGAACTGGTGCTGCAGTGGCTGTGCATAGCTTCATAGTGCTGCAACTTAACCCTTTGTGCCATCAGTGAGGCCCAGATTTTGCTGAATATTTTAAAGACACACACATAATATGTTTAAAGTATTTAGTGTGGTGGCCAGTATAGAGTGAGAGTGAGTGGGGGGAGGGGAGAGAGAGAGAGAGTGTGTGTGTGTGTGTGTATGTGTGTGTGTGTGTTAAGCCCATACCATGTGGTAATTCAAAGTGAAGTAAATGTTGGCATTCTCCTTCAAAGTCAGGAACATCTGATAGTGTGATTTCAATACGTGACCCTTTCGTAAAAGAAAAAATGAAGTTCCTAGGACACTTCTGATGAGGTGAGTGGCATGCAGTTGTACTATCACTGATCACAAAACAAGCAGATGGTGAGGTGGAATCCTTTAGTGCACACCCAGGTTTCAGACGTCTTTTCCTGCCTCCTGCATGTCTCACAGCCCCCTGCACAGATGTCTATTGCAGCTCTCAGCACCTACAGTGTAATGACTTAGGTGTCCGAGTCTCTGACCCGATCAGGCAACTCCTTGAAGCAGAGCCTGCCCTTAACTGCAAATCCCCCCTGACAGGAGAGGCAGTGAATGTCAAATGAAGCCAATCTGCCCCCACCCCACAGCATAAATGTATTTTTTAGCTCGCTACAGTTGTGTCCTTCCAGACAGGGCATTTACTGTTTGTTAAGGGCAAAGATGCACTTAGTGTTATCACAACCAATCTGACTTCTTAATGTCAGTGTAGATCCATGCACCCTAACGCCTAATTACAATGTCTGATGTGCCTGATGAGAATGCAAAGCTGGAAGCAGTAGCCTGAGGTAGGTTACTGGAATCTAGCAGGTCCTGTGGGTACAAATATTCTTATTGTCTGGGTGGAAGCAAGAAATGGGTAAAAATACCAGGCTGTTGCCTCTTGTCTCTCTGCTGCCTCCCCACGGGAGCGGAGGGTGGGAGCAGATGGAGCACCTGCACTGCTGCGCTGAAGGAGTCCTGAGGATCCAGTGTGGGAGATCCCAGCCCCAGTGAAGCAGGTATGTTGTATATCAGATTTCGAGTGGGGTGTAAATATGTGATTGGATAAAATTCAGAGGTGAATCTTTGAGGACTATATCATCAAGGCTACCCTACCAGAAAATGATGCAGGATTTGGGAGTCTGAGAATGTGCTCAAATGGTAACACAAAGTGTCTAATGTTCTCCAATTTCAATCATGAGTTCCCTAAATTCTGGACATCCCAATTCTGCCTCTACATTTATATGCAGAGATATTAAAAGGTAAGGGTCTAGGAGAGAAATGATTTAATTTTCATTTGCAATGGACATAATGACCAGCTATGAGAATACCTGTAGAGGCTTTTTCAAAAAAAAAAAAAAAAAAAAGTGAATACCTTCTTGAAAACTGTACTTTATTAGAGAATCTAACCCAAGTGTGGAAAATTTAAAATCAGTCTATTTACCAAAACTGGCTAACAATAAGCTTACTAGGAAAAAAGTGATCAGTAAATACCTATACTTAACAATCCATGTTGATATCCTTGCAGGGTAAACCCCGTGCGCAGTAACAGACATTCTCACATGTTATAGACGGTTTTACACTCAAATACACATAGAAAAGTTGGAAGACCTGTCTTAGAAACAAGTTTATCATGGATATACATAGTATTGTGAAAAAAATATATATAAAAATTTTATTCCAACAACTTCTCTATTTTTAAATCATGTTTATTAAGTTTTTATCACAGTGGAGATTAACTTATGTGTCATCATCCAGTCAGTGCCTACTGTCAACTTCATCCAATTCCAAAAAAAGCAAAATCGGCTCAAGCATACACTCCAAAGACCTGTTAGCCTCCCACCACTCATTGCCTCTGTCCTTTCTCCTCCCGTAACGGCAACATTGTGGTAAGATTGTGAAAAGGTAGAACTAATAGGCTCCTATGTAAAATACCATTTCTTCAAGTGTCCAGACAGCAGGAACTCTGCATTGAATGGTAAGAAACTACTCATGACATTATCTCAAAGCAGAGGAGAGCGGCTCCTGGTGGGAGGGAGTGAAGTTGTATGTCATCGTGTATGACGAGGAGTGACAGCATTCTAGAAAGTTCACACTTGCTGGGTTAGTGAATGCCATTAGGTACGTGTTGCCTTTTCTACTCTCAGCTGTGGGATTTCAAACTAGGAATAAATAAAGCTTACACTCAACACTGAGTGCAAAGGCTAAGTAAACAGAATGACATGGAGAAAACTCGTAATTGCCAACCAGAGAACAGTTTGGCCAGGAGATCCTGATTTCGTGCTGTCTGGGCCTTACCTCCTGATTCTCCAGTGAACACTCACTGTTCCACGCCAGCCCCAGTGACTGAGAAGGGTTGCCGGGAACAGGCTGAGGGAGCATGGGGAAGTGGGAACTTATTTTTACCAACAAGCAGTACAATTTCTTGGTCCCTTCTGCATATTGTGTACATTTTGATGGGTTGAGAGAATCTTCAACCTCTCAGACCAAACAGGTACCAATATGGCAAGTGTTTCATTTAAAAGAATTAAATGTTGGCACCTGTGTGGAATAGGTTGTGTAGCCCAGACAACAGCAGGGGGGAAGGTGTTTTTTTGTTTTTTTTTAAGTTAAACTTCAGAAAATAACACGGGGACATTCAGAAATTACATTATAGAAAAGCATCATTTACAAAAAACTCAAACAATGGCCATGTTTAACGATGCCATAGAAGCAATAATCTTTAGTACTTTGAACAGAAGTCAGGACTTGGTCGCTTTGTCTTAATAAAGTACTTAATGTCACTCATTAAAAATAAAATCAAATAAACTACAAAATTCCTCCAGAGGAAAATTATCGGTAGTGGAGAATGAAAGTAAAATAGAACCATGGCATCTACTTAACTGCATGGTTTTTAACCCCTCTCTAGAAGTGTCCACAGTCAAGAAAAGGGACACCAAAACCAAAAGCAATTTAAAAACTAAAAGGACAATATAAAAGTCAAAAAAAAAATGGTGTAATTTATACTTTGCTTTTTCTCCTCTGTAATCAGTCAGAGGGAAAATGTTCTTTCCTGGTAGTGCTCTGAGTTCATACATATTAAATTCTAGAAAGGCAATGTTTGGGTTCTGTCTTTCTACCCCTGATGTGTGTGTTATACCTTCAACGAGAACACTCACTGTAAGCCCCAGTCAGCTGACAATTATCTTAATTAGGAAACATACAGACACACACAGACATACACACAAATGTCTTGAAAAGAAACTATCCCTTACCTGGGAGACACACACATGGAGATTTGAAACTAAGGTCTCACACAGGTCACTTAATTGCTTTAAATAATTAAGGCTTCTAAAAGCTTCAGTGCCAAAACTCTCTGCATCAGTATTTGAATACAATACGTATTTGCATTTTAGGGTGTGCTTTTTACAGCCATCTGAAAAACCACGGAATTTCATTAGTAAGATCAGATGAGGGAGTTTTAGAATTGTTTACTGACGTTTGACTTTTAGTAGGTGTTAGACTAAATTATAGCGATAAAAATTCAATGAGCAGATTTGGGACTCTCACAGGAGCTGCTGGATCATTTCACCTTCTTTTCGTGTTTAATATGGCCATTTCTCTTGTACTTGCCATTGAGGATTCCATTCTGGTAGTGTCCATTCACTGCGCTCTGCTTATTTCTAGACCATAAACTTGTGATTTTTCTGTAGCTAAATTTTGCTGCCCAGGACAAAAGGAAGTAAAACAAGACAGCACCAAGCAAAAGCACAAAGGCAATATCCAGTAAAAAATACTGACAGAAAGAGATCTGATAGACAGCGGCACGGAGGTGATGTGCTCCGTTGTGACGGAGGATGTAATCGATCCAGTAGACCGTCCGATTGACAGGGTGACCTGGCTGGTCCTTGTGGATTTCTGAAAGCTTCTGGGCCCTCTGACGGTAGCTGTGGGGGAAGCAAAACGGAAGGATCATGTAGACACAACGTTCAGAACTGTGACTCACTCCTCTTAAAAAAAAAAATGGGGAAAAGCGGGCCCCCCTGGTGGCCTAGGGATTCAGACTCAGCTCTGTCACACAGTCACCTCTGCAGCCTGTGTTTGATTCCCGGCCAAAGAGCCGACCCACATGGTGCAGCAGACCTCTCCTGCCTTGCCCGTTGCTCCCTTCAGCAGTGTATTTCAGTAGATCTGCCTGTTTTGCTCCTCACATTCTGGTGAATCCTCTCACCCCCCATACTCTGGCCTACACTCGAGTTCTTCTATGCATAAATAATCTTAAAAAAAAGGGGGGGGAAATAAAATGACCATCCATTTTTAAGTGCTTAGTGTGTGTCTGGTACTGTTAAAAGCTTGAAACACCACCTTTGAGCACAAAATAGTTTCACCAGCTGAGAAGAAAACCAGAAAGACTTAAGTAATGTGATAGGATTATAAAGGTGAGATTCAGATATAAGTTCTCACTCCAAATCCTGTTCTCATTCTACACTGTACCTCACCTCATACCCACACACATGTGTAATCTGCCCCTCCATCGGCACTGAAATGGCATCATCACCCAGTCTCAACCAGGAAGGGGAGCGCATTGATTAGATTCTCAAAGAGAGGGTAGAGAGGGAAAAAAATGCACAACTTTGTCCCCATGCTGTTTTTTAAGCACTGACATTCGATATTGCGCTGGTGTCACTATAGGTGAAGTACAGAGAAACCAAATAAAGGGTCAGACAAAGACAGAATTTAAAACCAACCCTTGAAAGCTGACCACAGATCTGAGGCATCCAGGAGGGGAGAGGGATGGAGACAGGGGAGGGTGATTAGGGGAGAGCAGTGGGTGGAGGGTACTATAGGTGCACTGGTGGTAGCAGAGCTCCTGTGACCACATTTGAGGGGAACATCCTATACTTGCAAGAAAGTAATAAGGATATAAAACAATAGTACTTCATTTAAAAAAAAACAAAACCTGATTTTTAAAAGAATGTTAGGTGACAGTGTGAGGTTATTAGGTTTATTAACTAGATGAAATGCAGCTGAGAAACATCCCTATGAAGCTATCCATGACGATATATATTTACAAGTGTGTATATAGGCATATGTGTACGTGCATGTATAGATGTATATCAAGAGCATGGGGCCTGGTGGCTTAGGGGTTAAGTGTCAGTGCTATTGCTACTATAGCCTCAGTTTGATCCCGGGCCAGGGAGCTACCCACATGGCGAAGCAGACCTCTGTCTCTCCTGCTGCTCCTCTCAGCAGTGTATTTTGGTCCTTCTGCCTGTTCTGTTCCCCGCTCTGTTTCTGGTGACTCCTCTCACCTCCCACACCTCTGGCCTATATCCCAGCTCTTCTATGCAAAAACAAATACAATTTAAAAAAAAAAAAAAAAGTCCTTACGAATGGTTATATAATCCCTTAAGCAGGATACAAAGAAAGCAGTAAAACATAATGTAATGTTTCATTTTCAAAGTCTAAGTGTGTACTAATTGTGTACCAATGTTGGCCTAAGGACAAAACCCTTGGAAGGCCAATGTCCAGCTGGATTTGCCAGTCATAATAGAGAAATTGCATCTGGAGGGCGCACACAGCATGCCTTGGAGGTTGTGGCTGCAGCTGTGCTCTGAGACAGGAGAAGACAGGCCAGGAGAGAAGTGTGCACCTGACCATGAATGGGGGAGAGCAAGACTATGGCCAACAGGAGTCCACTCAGAAATGAGCCGGCTCATGAAGTCTGCTGCTTTCTCACCGGTTCACTTTCCGGGACACTGCCCTTCCGAGGAAGCGAGACCATGGATCAAACAGGCAAGAACACTGGGGTGTCCCCCATAAATTAGTTTGAAAGGGTGTTTCCCAGAGAAAAGTAGCCTCAAAGTCAGTGTTGACTGACATTGAACTTCGCCGTAGTCTGCTTTACAATTCAAGATTTCTTCCAGTAAGAAGATGGCAGTAGGCAGATGAAACAAAGCGATGACAATTTTTCTGCACTAGGGATTTTCCCACAAGGGATGCAATCACACTAGGAGTTTCTAGTATGAGTCAAATGGCCCACATCTCTCACGTACCCAGCACCACCTCCGCAACTAGCCCCTCTACTCGAACCCACAGGCCATTTGACAAGTCTGCTTCGAAAAACTAACAAGACACAGTCGTTTTCCAGAACAGCACATCTGGAAGAACACTAGACACTGAAAGAAAAGCTACAGGACAGAGATAAAGGGATCCCAACCTCAGGCACCTCGGGGGTCATGGACTTCACACCTCCAGATGCCACTGGCTCAGCTCTGAAGGCCACCTCTGAGCCGTGCTAGGGGCAGCGCCATGTGCCCAGGGAGCTTGTACCAAACTTTTATGTGACGACCACGGCACTTCATTGGAAGGAATTTTTCTTAGTGCTGCTATATTTTAGAGTTTCTCTCTGTTCAGGGATAAGCCAGACCCCGTGTGTCCACACAAAAAAGCTTACATGCCTGCCAACATTACTGCTGTGTGAAATGCACGATTAATTAAATATAAAAGGGGGGAGTCCAGCTTTGTTTTAAAATTACACAGCTCAGCTCTCCACCCCTTGAGACGCATGTGTGAATTCGATGAGCTCAAGCCGTATCAAGAATTTAAAGGTCAAGATACAATAAAGATCCTGAGTAGTCATTCACCTGAGTCAATAAATCAGCCTTTTGGTGGCATCCAGTGCCAGGCGCTACAAAGGGCAGCAGCCTTGGAGTCTGTCAGTCTGGCTCGAATATCACTCTCAGAGCTAGGTAATCATGGGCTAATGACTTAAGCTTTCAGAGTTTCAATTGCCTCATCTCTAGAGCGTGGATACTGAAAACTATGAAATATGGTTATCATGAGTGATAAGATGAGACAAAAGACACAAAATTTGACAGTGCACGGCCCCATGCGTGTTCCCATTATGGAGCCCCTTCCTTTCGCAGATTCTGGCAGACTTATTCAAGGTCATACGTGACTGTCCAACAGCTGCCATTTTCTTTTCTGAATGCTAACACACCCATCAGGCATTCTAAATACGAATCTAGAAGATACTTCTGTCATTGGTTCACTGACAACTTCCTGGCCATCACTGGGTCTTGACAGCCTGCTGCTGTATGTTCCACATGTAAAGTCCACCTGCCCAATGTTAACTGGATCCTTACCTGGGATCATTTATAACCTTCACCAGCGCTTCATACAGCTCCCCCTCAGTCACCGTCTTCCACTCCAGCAAGATCCCCATGCCTTTTGCTTGCACGCGGGTCATGGTATCATAATGATCTCCAAAGAGTGGGATTCCCACAACGGGGACACCATGATACATGGTTTCAAAAATACTATTCAAACCGCCATGGCTCAGGAAGGCTTTAATATTTGAATGCCCTACAGAAGGATAGAAAAGAAAACAGTTTGCAAGATTGTGTATTAGTGAGAGATGCTCCAGAAATAAGCAGACTGCAGTAAACACATAATTTGGAGAGATAATATTAAAGGCATAATTTCGGTCATCCCTGCTCCGGGCCTATTAAAATGTTAGATATACAAAATTATCTGATTTATATATATCTACAGTTATCTGTCTCAATTAAAAGCCAAACTGGTTTCTCAACTTCGCCCTACTAAGGGACCATCTTTGCAGTGGATCTCAAATATTTTCTCAGCCTAGTCCCACTAGAATTCTTTCTTGGAACAAAACCTTAACACCAAGCCCAGCAGAGAAAATGGAGCACAGCTGACTGGGTGGGGGCAGGAGTTTGAGGGGAGGGGAAAGACACTAGCTGGGTCCCTAATTCTCGTCACCTTTGGGTCATAGCTGAAAGCCAACAGAGAACCACAAAGGCCATGCACAGAGTTGCGCAGGGCCCAGGCTTACACAAATCAGAGCGAGAGCTGAGACTCCAAGGACCCAGAGAGGTTCCTGAGCCGGTGTCTGGGTGTGGGCCCGGGGTACCTGCACTGCTGGAGAGTCTCCCAGTAAAAACCCGAGCACCGGTCAGATGCCCCGGGTAGGGGTATCGGCTGTTGGGCTGACAAAACCGAGGGTGAAGAAGCACACTTAGATCTCCTTTCTCCCTGTCTTCCGCGGAATCTGAAGTCATAATACTAAATAACTGCTCACTGGAAACTAACAGTTTTATAAGTGTATTTTCTAGAAAATTAAAATTGGAGACTGGTCTAAAATTTTTAATTTATAGGCCTCCCCCACATATAATTTACAAAATATCCTCCAACACGTAAGATTTGATTTGTTGGCCTGACATCAAAGACGAGCGATGCCAAATACCGTAACGACTGCCGTAAACTACACACACGTTGTACAAGCCACTTACGTAGAAACCCATTTACATAATTAAAATCCAAAAGCAAGTAAATACCCACGAGTCACTGACTTACCGAGCAGATCATTTTGTGGCAGCCATTCTATCAGCTTAGTGTTGTTTCCTAGATTCTTTGGTTTGGTCCCAGAAAACCTAAAATGTGCACCAGACAATGAATCTTTCAGACATGAGTTCACTCGTGGGATGTACAGACTGTCTGGTTCACTCATTTCATTTAGAACAAAGGTCATCTTTTCTGATATTCTTAAGAAGGAAACCATTCTTTGGTAACAACAAACGTTTGAGTACATTTCTTTTTCACACTTTCCAAGACTGAGAAATAAATTCTTTGCTTTGTACTGAGACCAACGCATCCAGATGAGCCTGTGCTAGAAGGCCCTTCTCCACCAGGCCCAGAAGGTGAGGTGCCAAGGGCCGGGCCGGGCCAGCCTTAGTTCGGGCCTCACACAGGAGCCGAGGGGGAGGCTTGACTGAAAGAGAGTGGAGACTGCATTCTCCTAGCTTGACCCCCACGTGGGAGTCCTGAGGAGGACAGGACACCTTCAGGAGCTTGCTGCCTTCATCTCTGAAAGATACACCATAAAGGGCCTGAAAAGCAAGTGTCTGAGCTGAGGGACAAAAATTGTCCACCCAAAGCAAAAGGGGGCTTTCTGGGTTAAGGCCAAGAGAATAAACCCAACAGGACTGCATCAATGTGAAAAGTCTTGAAGACCTGGAGTAGAATATGTGTCTACCCCGTAGCTCAGTCAGAGGCAGCAGAGCAAGTCCTCACACCGTCGCTACTGGAAAAACCGTGCTGTCTGGAGCCTCCGGAGGTATTTTCTTCCAATTATGTAGAAACTGTGGGATGGCCACTGCCCTCTGCGCTCTCTCTAGAGCCCAACAGTGGGGACAGACTAAATAAAAACCTGCTAATAAAGTGCTGAGCTCTCATTTTCACACGTGGAGCTGGAAATTCCAGAGACAGAAACACGTTGGCAGTGTTTCCCAAAACAGGCTCAGACAATCTATGGGTCTGCTTTGACTGGTGCTACCTGGTCAGCTGCTGTATTTGAGAGGCCTGACCTGTTGGAGAAATAAGTCTAAAGTGTTTACAAAGGAAACCAAGTGGGGCCCCAAAAGGGCCCATGAAGGAGTTTACTTATTTATTTATTCATCCATCATTTGTTCTCACCCCAGCACTGATTTGCAGGAACATACAGAAATACATGCACAAAACAAAAATGTCTGAATGATGGTAATTAATGGGTGGGTAAGGCTAGAGAGCTGTGAGCGAAATAAAAAGGCATCAGATACAGAACAAATCATTCCATTTATTCTTTCTGCACTATGGCCTGGATGTCTCTCTCCATCACAGAATCTTAGAAATTCATCTCTAGGTTTCAATACTAAAAGAAAACTCAGGAGCCTCTGCCTCATCTTGCCAGGGCATCAATGTCATTAGGACTACGGGCTAAGCAAGGGATACTGAAAATCAACAGTGGAGAAACAATAGATCTTGTTAATTTACCTCCAGATCACTTTTTGGGGCAATCTCCCCAGAGCTCCAGCCAGTTTGTTGGCGATGTCCTCAGACAGATACTTGACACCGGCTCCGAAAGACACCAGGACAAAGCCATGTTCATTAGCACCGTTTACCCACCTTTGCAGATCCTGGAAATCAAAATACAGCAGTTCATTTTAGCAAAGACCAGAAGAGTTCCTAGGCAGCGCCGGCCACAGCCCACTTTATAACTAGGCTTCAGGTAAACTTAGCGATTAGAGAGTACAGAGGAAGATACAGTGGAAAATCCACTAGATACCTGTTTTTGGTTTTTTTTCCTTGCTTTTCTATTTTGAAAAAAAATTTATTACATCACTGTTCATTTTTAAACTAGATACCTGTTTTTGATGAAAGTATTTCAGCTGACAATGTTAACTACACAACCGTGGGGAGATTTTTAACTTAAGATCAGTATGGAAGTGATAACAACAAATCAGTAGTTCATGACCTAAGAGTGCAGTGATTAAGCTCTTAGGCAGAAGCAAGAAAAATAAAACCGATAGTTAAAATGTGGTCTGAGATATATGTGCAAAATAAGCAAAAGATGTGGATTCAACATCAAAGCAACACAGGAGCCACCAGCCTCACCTCCTCCCAGGAGGCGTTGACTTTAGGAGGGTGCTAACTGCATCCTGGTCTACACTTGCTGGGTCGTTTTCATTCCTGAACAGTCCTCCTGTTTTATGATCTAAGGGGAGGCATTAGCTAGCAGGTCTATGCATCCATCGACCTAGCGCCTTAATACTTCTCTTTTTCTGCAATTCACGCAGAACAGAAATCATACAAGTTGGAGCGGGAGGCACCCACGAAAACTCTGTGGGGTGCCTCTTCCCCTCACTGTATGAGAAAAGGCCTACTTCTCAGATCTCACTTCAGAGCAAGAGATGCGGGGGGCCACTGGAGACATGCGGGGAGTAGAACAAATCCAACTGCAGAACAATTCACTTCTCAGGAAGCTCCACTAGCCACGGGTCGCCAGCCTGGTGGCTGAGCACCGCAAATGACAGCAGCTGGTCTGACGGAGCTCTGGCCTGGCTGTATTTCACTCTGTGGGGACAAGCCTGCTTCTGTGCTAAGGCATCTCTGAGTAAGTCTTTGTCAAAGACACCGACTTTTGGTTTCCCGAAGGAAAACTAGAAGTCAGGGCGTTCTGAGGAACACATAATTCTGCCGTAAGGAAAACAAATCTGCTGCCCGCCGGCAACACCATCCTGTAAGAGCACATGGAGACATCAGCGCTCTGCGTCCACGCGTGCAGTCACGCCCTGCGCTCGGAGGCCCGCAGGGCAGCACACGACTACTGCTGTCCGCATTTTCCTTTCTTCAGCGTACTCTGAGCATTCGACGCTGTGAGATCCATGTCACACAGGACACCTTGTCGGCTTCGGGGGATCACACTGTGAAAAAGGCTGCACTCTGGTTAGAATGCCTGACACAGGCAGAAGAGAAATTCGTTTGAAGGGTGGTGAACAGGCTGCTGTGCATCCAGGCCACAGGGTTCTCAGACCACCTTATGACTCGGGGGTGCTGGTGGTGTTGGGGAAAAAGGATGTCTCAAAGCAAATTCCATATAGGCTTTGTGGACTCCACCCCCACCCCAGGTCAAAGCCAAGACACGGGAACTCCAAATCCCATCACCACCAAGGGAAGGTGGCTGGGACCTGAGGGTGGGGTTAAGCAGCCAGGTGGATACAAAAGGCAGACACATGGGCTTTGGGGGGCTCCATTTTTTGGGCTCTCGGCCAGTTTGCAGCGTCCGGCCAGCTTTGAGAGTGACTTGGGTTTCCAGGTCGTCGATCGGTAGGACGCATTAAAGACTTTATTTCCCTATTTTCTCCCTGAGTTGTACATTTTCCTTCTTTCCTTTCCTCTTGTAAATAAACCTTTTATTAACTTTTTGTGTGTTCTGTAGTAGGTATTCATAAGTCCCTTTAAAGCGCGCGGGTGAGGACCCAGCCAGGAACCCGTTTAATATCGGGCTGCCTATAACAGTGGGTGCTCCCGTGGGCCCCGCCAGGCACTGAGGTGGCGGCGAGCAGGTCACAGGCAGGGGTCAGCCCCACATTCAACGCCAAGGCAGTTGCTGGTGAACATGCTGGGTCGGGACGGCCACACTGCCAGGCACAGCCATTCAGGTTAGGACAGATGGACTTTAAGAGCTTCCTGTCAAGTCCCTACAGCAGCCCAGGGGCCCCTCCTTCATTTGGGGACCAGGATAGACATGATGTTTCTTTGGTTGGTGAGGTCAGCAGAAGAACCTTCCACTTGTCTCCAGAGCTGGTGGCTTGCTGGTATGTCTTTAGGAGCATCTCCTAAGTTCCCTTTCTCTTTTTTTTTTTTTAAATAATTTTATTTTTATATTCCCCATACAATTACAACCCCCCATTCTGACCCCAATCCCTCCCCTCCCGCCCCCCCCAAAAAAAGTGTCTCTGGTTCATAGTTTTTTGTTGATTTTGATTTTCACTTTTTTTGATTTTCACTTTCTTATAGTTATTCTTTTTCCTGGTCCCTCATAGATTCCTGCTATGAGTGAGACCATCCGGTATTTTTCTTTTTCTTTCTGGCTTATTTCGCTGAGCATGATCCCTTCCAGCGCCATCCATGTTGCTGCAAATGGCATGTGTTTATCTTTTCTGATTGCTGAGTAATAGTCCATGGTGTATATGGACCACATCTTCTTGATCCAGTCATCTATTTTTGGGCATTTGGGTTTATGGTAAAGGTTGCATTATATATATTTTGTAAGATGGGTTTTCTCAAATACTCTGCAAGTGGCATCCAGGGGGAACAAGCTCTGTGGTGAGAGGCTCTCAGCATCTCACAGCACCATCTGGGGGGATCTGCTGCCATGCTGGGGTGGGGGTACAGTAGGGAGCACCAGTGAGGTCCCCCACAGCTGAACACTTCCCACACAGAGCACTAGGCCTCTCCTTGCTGGTCTTCCTCCCCTTATTTTTTCTGTTCTATCTGTTCACAGGATCTTTATCAACTGGCTCTACTTCAGGCAGTCTCAGCAGGAGGAGGGCGGGAAAAAAGCACATCGGATGCCCCAAATGAGTGAGCAGTGTCACCACATGAGCAGGAGTGAGCACAAGGAGGAGGTGCTCCACCCTCTAGGTGCTGAGTGAGTAAAACAGGCTTTCCTTACTGGAGAGGGCAGGAAACCTTTTCAAAACACCTCCCGTTTCAGGAAACAGTTTAAGAATATAGAAAAGAAATAGAAAATAAGCCAACATTGGATTACAGTTTTCACTTATATTCTCTACAGTTCCAATGCCTGTGGCAGCCTCTCATTTCTGGACCTATACAGTATATTCTGGAATCTAAGATCCAACACTGACAATGTGCAAAATGATGTAATAATGATTTTTTTTAATTCTTCATAATAAATGCGTTCAAATAAATGTGTAAAAAATTAAGGTATTTTAGAAACCCCTGTCTGTTAGAATTGTTTGTCTGTATACATATATATATAACATTTATATTTTTATATTTTTATAATATTATATTTTCATTATATTGTTTTATATATATAAACTGTAAGAACTGAAAAAAAGACTGAAAAAAAAAAAAAAACCCTCGCAATAGCAACAAAACTGAGACATAGCTAAAAGTAGGAAAAACCTAACAAACTCTACAGTATGTATATGAAGAAAGCAAGAAAATTTTTACTAGGGGGGCAAAAAAAGAAAAGCTGAATAAATGCAGGAAAAGGACATGTGTAGGAAAGAAACACTGTTATAAAGATGCTCATTATTTATGCAGCTAAGTTCAAGGCCATGCAGCTATGGTCTAGGAAGATCATTATAGCCATGGAAGAGCTGAGTCTAAATTTCATCTAGGAAACAAAATGTACAAGAACAGCCAAGAAAATTTCCGAAAAGAACAGAGAGTGTGCCCTCCTGGATAGTGAAGTGTGCTCTGGGACTGCGGCCATCCAGCACCACAATGCAATTTGCTGCATCAGGGGATGAAGGAGCAGAGCAGCTGGAGACATTCATATGTCCATCCTCACTGGGGGCGGGGGGCTGTCCTGGGTGAGCCAGGGTACAATCGCCTGACACCAAGACAGGAAAGGGGAGCAGAATATTGGCCAGGCACCTGCCACATGATAGGGGTGGGGGGAGCAGCTGTCCCCAAAGTGCAATCTTTTGGTCATTTTACACCAGTTTTTGAAATGATGGCTATTGAGAAATGGGGGATGGTGAAAAATTACCCAAAAGGGTCACAAGTAAGATCTTGAGACTTGGAGACCATCACAGGGTGACTTTGTTTTTAAATCTGCCTCTTCTGCAAAAACTCACAGAAATATCCTATTAATTGTGGCCAATTCACACCCCAACTCAAAGTAGAGACAGATTTTACAAAGAAGATCATCACGTCATAACCAGTGAAAGGATAATGAATGAAAAGCTGGACGGCGCAGACGCCTCTCTACCTTGATCAGGCCTAATTCTGACATGTCAGCTGTGGCTGAAGCTTTGGAAGACTGACTGCTCCGAGGCCTAGGCTGCCATGGCTAGCGCCAGCCTGTGACCCAAACCTACTCCTTTCTTTCCCCACAAAATAGGAGCCTTAAGAGGGGCCGGCAGAGTTGAGAAACCAGTAACAGTGCAGCCTTTGTCAGTCCCAGCCATTCTGCGGCAAAGAATGCCTGGACTGTGAGCAAATCCTACACAGAGATGCTGGAGGGGGCTGGGAATCTGGTCTCTCCCTTTCTAGTTCTAACACCAACCTCAACAGACCTCCTTTTCCACCTAGAGAGTCTCATTATGTAAAGAATGGGCCGCTGTGGCCAGGTGGGGTGCAGAGAATGAAAAACTCAGTCTGCAAAATCCCATAGGTCAGAGCACAGGGAACACTCTGGTACACAATGTTTTATAAACATCGTGGGACATCAAACAAATGCATCCACCACTGTTTTCACGGACGTGACTGGCAGAAGGTTTGGTTCCAGCCCCAGCTCTACAATGGACTGAACTCAGCCCCCTATTCTCCCTGATGCCCAGCTTTCTCATCTCTCATATGCTGAATGCGCTTCTCAGAGATGTGGTGAAGATCAGATGAGATCAAACATTTCCAAGTGTTCTGTCAAGTAGGAATTGCC